GCTAAAAACAAGACTTGCTAGTTTTCTTAGTAATGTGTATACTTACAGTAGCCCACTAATTCCCAGACATTGCCCATAATCTGAAAATGCTGAGCAATTTCAGCATCTTTCAGGATCTGCTGAAGGTTCTGTTAACTAAGGAAAACCCTGCATGAGATATGAAGACACTCAAATTAAGCAGTTTTCCTAAATTGTATAGAATTGAAAAAAATTATATTCAGTAGATTATAAGTTAATGGAGGCTTGCTGTCCAAAATTAGAGAACTTCCCACTGACTTTAGTAAATATTTTTCATAATTTCCATAAAATAGTGCAAATAATTTCAAGAGATTTAAGGTATATAAGGGGAAAGTGGCTTATACAATTTAATTTAAGCAGAGGAACACCTACCTTTAAATCCTGAGAATTATTAGTGCAAAGGCAAAGTTTGAGCTGAGTTATGTTGGAAGGTATTTTCTCTGGTTTCACTTTTTGTTTTTTTCTCAGTTCCAGAAGAGGAATTAAAAACTCAGATATCAAAGGAATTTTTTTTCTCCTCTGAGACAGAATAGTAATAACACTGTGAATTAAGCAATGGTGAGACAGGTTTTGGTAAAGAAAAAATTCACAGAACTTAAAGTATTAAACTCCTGCTTGCCAGAGAGAGAGGGGGATGACTTAAATAATTTTTCTTTCTCCTAACTTTCTGAGTTTTAACTGTTACCTGTAACCATTTTCCATGACAAAATCTTGTATAAAGGCAAACATCTGTGTGTGCAGTACCATCTGTGTAAGATAGCACAGAGATGGAAGGAGAATCCTAGCTGTGGCTGCTGTTTGGAACTCAGCTTGGAAATCCAGCGTGTTTCAAGGAGAAGGAGCTAACTTGCTGCTTACAGTCTCCCAAAATGTACCCAAATATCTGTTTCAAGGTTTAGTAGCCTGCTGGACATGACAGAAGCTGCATGGTGAAGTAAGTTATTCAAAGGAAGAGAGGATGTCTTTCGCGCATTAATTGGTATAAATCTTCCACTGTCAAACTGTATAAAATTCCAAATACACTCTAGAAAAAGTTCAGTCTTGCTTTGCATCTATGGCAACAATAGTAAGGGTTGCAAATGAGTGTTATAAATGAGCCCTTTTGTGAACCAGTGGCAGTCCCTTTCTTTCCTTGAAAAGTGAAGAAGTGGATTAAATTAATCTGTCCTGACCTAGTTGGACTTGGTGATCTTTATGGGTCCCTTCCAACTTGAGATATTCTGTGGCTCTGTGATTTATCCTTAGAGCTGAACTGCTGCTGTTCCCCAGGGTGGCCTTGGGTTTGCACCTGCAGTGCAGATACCACCTCAGTGCACTGTGGAATGTGTTTGTTGGCATTTGAACTATTTTGCTGGAAGAATTACAGATGGAAAAAATTTCAAGTTGTCTTCCAGGATTTCACTGAGACATCCTCATCTGTTGGCAGCTTCTTTGCTTTTTGTTTCCCTCCTGTGCCTTCCATCTTTACCAGTTCTAGCTATGGACATGTGTAGAAGTGTCTTCAAACTCCCCTTTGTCTGCTGTGGTCTGTGTGTTCCATCAAAAAATCAAACCAGAAGTAACTGAATCCCTGGGAGTATTCAGGCTGAGCTAGACTGATGTGGAGATAGGGTCAGGAAAACACTGGTAGTTTCCAGTCAGCCATTCAGCATGTACCTGACCATACCCCAGTAATTAATAATGCAAAATACAGATTGTTTCATGGGCTACAAGTAAAATTCTTCCATCACAAAATGCTTTCTGTTCAGAGAAAACAATTTCCTTAGAACAATTTCCTCAGATGCACTTCTTTTTTCTCTTTTTCCCCAAGAGCTTTGTAATGTGGATTAGTGCTGAAGTTGCTAATATTCTTCCAAAGTGCAGCACTGCCTTCCCTAGCAGTAGTGTTAGATGATTTTGTGGCAGGAAGTGTTCTGAGAGGTGGGTGAGTACAAGCATCTAATGCCCAGCATGTGCAGTGAATGACAGCAGGTCCTTGTGCCCCTTTTGGCAGGGAAAGTTCATGGTCTCGTCCTGAATGCAGTGCCGGGATGATGTGGGAGTCTGGTAAGCCCTGGGCTGCAACAGGAGCCTGAGAGAAGGGGAGTGTGCTCTACCCACTTAGCTGAACAGGTTCTCTGAGTTTCTGCACTTGACTGAATTTCTTTCTCTGTTGGGCAATTCTGAATGTAACCTGTTGGTTGGTTGGTTTTTGTTCTTTTGGTTTTTTGTTTTTAGCATGTAAATTGCACTGTTACTACTGTGAACAAAATGGGGCCTTTTTAATCTTTCAAATGTTAGAATTTTTAATAAGAATACTTTTCTGTTATTCTAGAATAAAAACATTAGGAAATTAAATAAAAATATGCAAGAAGTCTGACTTTCCAGCTGATAGACTGTTTTAAATTATTTAGGGAAGTTTTAGGATATTTGCCTGCAATATATTTTACAGCCTATAATAAAAGGTAAAACATTCAAAACTTTTCCTTTCAAATACTATTTGGAATTTCAAAAAATCTTGCTATGGCTGCAAGTGCAATTTTGTAATGCTAATGCCTGAAACCTCCTTTAAAGCTTTTGCTAATATAACTCATTAAAGAAGGAAGTTAAGCCTACACATCTCAAGGTGCAAAACAAAATTGCCTAATACTATCTAAGTAACAAACCAGTTCTAACACTGTGAAAGCTGTTCTTCATCTCACATTCCTGCCTGAGGAAATTTGAGCTGAATGTCAAGATGTAACTACTGTAATGCTGCCCAGCTATTAATATTAATGTCAGCTATGGCCTCACAGTGAATCCATTTTCTTGTCTTCTCCTTCTGTTGATTTTTCTAATAGGAAAAAGAATTCAGATACCCTATGATAAGATAATTTGAGCCCCAAACTTGTCTGTGTACTGTATAGATTCAGTGTTGTTTTGGAAGGGGGATGTCTCTACTAGGTAACAAAAGAAAAATCATACAGGGTAATCAAATGCCATTTATAATGGACCTTAAAGGCGCCAATGAGGGCAACACTTGGGAGCTGGAAAAGGTGGTTTTGTAAGGTGTGTGGGATTTTGGTATGGCTAGGAATTACAGTCATACCAGTGGCAGAGGCATGCACATCAGGAGGATGAAATGGAAGAACGTTTTCCTCCTATAGGACTTTTATTCCAATTTCTTTAAAAACCTCTTTGGAAAACTTCAAAATATTAACTCATTTGAACTGAATGTGAGGCTTGGGGTAAAAATGCAAATAAGTAAACGTTTTTCAACCTAGAATTTGCTTTCCCTTTTTTAATTTTCACTGTTTTTGGAACAGGATAATTCCTTTCTCTGCCTAAAAGGTGTGACCTCCCCCCAAGGCCAAATGCTTCTTTTTCTTTTTTTCTTTTTTTCTTTTTTTTTCCCTCCTAGGAAAAACTAACCCAAACTGAGAGGTGATATCTGAGATAGCAAGTTATAAAATTATACAATATGCTACTAAAAGTACTGAAATATTATTAATATAGGGGGGGCTTAAGGACAAATTGCTGCCTGTTCTGCATGAGAGGATAGCACCATCCATCCAGTATAATCACTTTTAAGAAATGCTTTAATGGCAGGAGGCAAGTGTTGTGTTTTCGTATGGTTTTCTTTTTGTTGTCTGGTTTGATTCAAACTTCTCTGCAAGCCAGTCAGCCCTCTTTTACAGAAGGAAAATATATTGTAGCCTATGCCATCAAATATGTTGGGACCAATACATATGTTAGGACAAAGGGCAGAAACTGATGCACAGGGAGTTCCACCAGCAAATGAGGATGAGCTTCTTTCCTGTGCAGTGCTTGGCACTGGAACAGGCTGCCCAGAGAAACTGTGGAGTGTCCCTCACTGGAGATATCCAGGACCTGTCTGAGCACAATCCTGTGCAGTGTGATCTAGGATGACCAGACATGGTCCTCTCCAACCTTACCCATGCTGTGATTCTATGAAAATTGTATATGTATATCAATAAAATTGATTTCAGATCATATCACTGCTGATGCTAGAAGAGTTCTGCTGAATGCGGGCATCCTGCAGAGACTTAAATTTATACCAAGGTGACAGTGGTGACATTGAAGTTCTGAACAACTTTAAGGGCCATGTCACATCAATCTGTGTAGATGAAGAAGGTGCTTCAGTACAGAGCATAGGCAGTGATCACCAGCATTGAAGAGGTGCTCCCTTGCCACCGCTGGGAAGTCTGTAGACAAACACTGGAAATCATCAATTCCAACAAAAAAGGTTACTTTGAGGTGTCATTTCATGGCACATACATAGATAACACAAAGTAGTGATAGCCTAAGTTCAGGGGAATGGCAAAAATGTGGCTACATTTTTCTTCTCCCTAATTGCTCATCTCCTGGCCGCCCTCCTCTCTCATTTTGTCTGTTTCTAGAGAAAGTTTTTGGAAGACTTTTGTATTGTTTGAATGTATAACGTAAAAGTTTGGTGAAAGGTCAAAAATGCTCATGTGTGGAAGGCCATGACAGTGTCCCACTTGCTTCTATATCACTATTATTTTTGTATTTTTATTGCAATGTACGTATTCTTAAATCCATTTTCTCATTTTTTCCTCATATTATTTTCCGATTGTCATCCCAGTCTTTTCTCTTCTTAATTTACATGTGGCTTTCTTAGTGCTTTCCACCGCTCTTGCATTTCGTGTCTGCTAATTTCTTTCCTTTATCTCATTTTTACTTTTTTTTTCCTTTGAGAAAAATTCAAAACATGGAGTTTTAACATGGGCTATAAACTGGTCAATTATTCACCTTTATCTCTACTTAAAAATGTTTGTGTCAGCAGTAATAGGATAAAGGGAACTTTCTCAGGAATGCTGCAGGCAGTGGCAGAAGATGGAGGTCACTAATACTGGAAAGAGCAGCCTTTAAAAAGGGCCTGAGAAGTAAAAATCTGCACCAGAATTCATATGCAATTGTTTGTTTTAAATTCAACATGTAAGTGGCACCAACAATAACAACTGGTTTTAATTCTCTTTCAGCAACAAGAACAAGACCCGACTAACTTATACATTTCCAATCTGCCTCTTTCAATGGATGAGCAGGAGCTTGAGAACATGCTGAAGCCCTTTGGGCAGGTGATCTCCACCAGGATACTGCGGGACTCCAGTGGGACAAGCCGTGGTGTTGGCTTTGCGAGGTACCTCGGGGCTGTTAGCCATGCTGGCAGCCTTCTTCCTTTGCTTGGATTAAAACACAAGAGTAGGTGGAAAAGGCAGAAATTACTGGAAATTATAAAGTTTGTAAAGAGAAGGAGGATTGAAATGGAGTTGTCCAGCAGGGTTTTGTTAATTCTTCCTTTGGTAGCGCTGTGTCTCATCTTGCTTAGATGGCTAAATCTAAATTTATTGCTCTTACTGGACAACTATCTAGAGTAAGAATTCACTCTAAACCACTTCCTTCCCTTTTCTGTACTTCTCCTTTCTCCTCTATCCCTGAGCCAGTAAGCAAGGGTTACGTGATGCTTCACAGAGACTTCTCCTGTGACTTTTCTGGCTTCTGAAGTTTGAATCACAGGCAGCAGACCAGAAGGAAGAACCTTCTTCTCCACCCCCACGCCTTTTTTTTTTTGTTTTTCTTCATTAGTTCCTTGGAGAAAATGAACTCATCATTGCCCTTTGAACATCAGCCCTTTGAATTTTCAGGCTCATTAACATGATGTCAACTGGGAAAGAAAATATTTTTGTTCACTTAACAGTAAATCTCATCTTAAAATATTTGTGTGCTAAGTCAAATATCTCACCCAAATCAAAATTAACAAATATTTTCCATACATTAGTAAATGCCTCCTAAATATTCTGTCCATATGAATCAACTTTTTTCTCTAGTTAATGTTATTTTTTCTGGGATCTCTTAATCAAAGTTTTTTCTGTGCTGTTTTTATTTATGTAAGTTCTGCTTTAAACAATCAAAATTTAGAGGTTTTAAATTGAAGGTTTCTATTATCAAAAATAAAAGCGTGCTTCAAGCAAAGAATTGGTATTCTTAAAATATAAAATCTCTGTGAAATCAAATTTCAGTAATTCAGATGTTCAGCCAATATAAAGTGGCTCTGTATTTGAACAAATATCAGAATCTAAAATTAGTGCACAGAAAAGAACTGAACAAATTTATCTCCTGGTGTTGCCAAAATTTTTAGGGATTGGTTTTCCTGTGAGTTGGCTGGGGGATATTTCATGGCACTGTGATTTTTCTTTTTCTTTTTTTTTTAAATCTCTCCCCCACCAGCCTCCTGACCCCCAACTTCATATGCTTGTCGAACTATCAAGTTTCAAGAAGGTATAACAGAGGAAAAAAATAAAAAATAATAGAACAATATTCACTATTTAAGAGGGGAAAACAAGCAAGTTTTGGCTTTGCTAAAATTTCTTCCTGTCCCCTTTAAAAAAATCAACAAGTGAGGTAAAATTAACTGGGCATTTTAATTTCATTAATATATGTGTGTTTTATATGCAGCTTTCACTTTTTGGTACAGTGAAGGGTAGAATCCACTAACACCCACTGTAAAATTCACTTGGCATTTTGCTCTCATTCAGCCTCTTCTCCCTAAACTTGTTTACCACCTCTGCCTTGAATCTGTGGTATGGTAGGAAATATGGTAGGATATATTTTTTCTAATATATTTTCTATATTTCTTTCTAGCTGGAAGTGTTCTAGAATCATATGCAAAAGTCAAAAAGACTTGTGTGTATCCAGAACCTCACTTGTATTGAAGAAATTAGAATAGTTTTAAAGTACTTTCTCAGTGTTTCTCTATTATGCATTTTGTGTTTTATATATACATGAGTGAAGTTATTTTTATGTGTTTATTTATATGCATAAATATAGTATACATAAGTTACAGGATAAGTATTGCTTCTATAGCTAATTAGAACTTCTTTCCTTCTACAAGGTGAACATTTTTCTTGTATTGGAAAATTCTTGGATAATTAATTAAAGTTAAAATTTTCCAAGAAACCTGTAGACATTAAATAAATATTTTCATTTCTTGCCTTTGGGAAACTTTTATTAGGTTAATAGGGAGTAATGTATTTTATCAAGTCCAGGCTTGAGTCTGAAACTAAATTATAGTGTTTGTGTCATGTGAGACAAAAAAAAAAAAAAAATTAGATTTCTTTGATGTAGATCAAATAATCCAGAACTTCTGAAAACTCTCTAAGAGATATTTTTGGAATCATTTGGAAAACCTCTTGTTCAGTCTGGCTTTTTGGTGATACTCATTGTTATATATGCTTGTATTTTGTCAGCCTGTGCAGAAAGGATATCAGAATTAAAAAGATACCAAGACTTAGGAATTTTTAGTCCTGGTTGCTTGCTGCAGAGGCCATTGGCCTAATTTGTGGATATGAATTAGAGACCTTGATGAGAAAATGAAAAGAAATTACCTGTTCGACATTAACCAAACATCATCTTGCAGACAGCTGCTAAAAAAGTTCTTTCAAAAGATATTTTGTAGTAATTGCACATCTGAGTCATTCAGTGTGGCTGTGTCCAAGGTGACAGTCGGGGCTGGCACATCCTCACTGCAGGTGAACTGTCCCAGGCCAGCAGGGGCTCTCCAGCCCTCTGCCCAGTCTGTCAAGTCTAGATCTGACAGCATGAGTGCACAAACCTGCTCAGGATTTTGGATACATTCTCAGTAGCCATCACAGCTATGCTGGTATTGGCTCCTGTTTGGAACTTGGAGACAATTAAATAAGAGCCAGGTGCATCATTTAGTGGAGATGATGTGTATAAGCTAAAAGCTGCCAAGTCAGTTTGGGTCATGCAGTCAGGCAGGTTTATATTTGAGTTTATTACCCTTAAACTGTACAGACAGCTCTGAATCCTCTCTTAAGAGTGGCATTAACCTTTGCTGCATGCAGCATGGACACTAAGGATTCAATTATGAATGATAGTGAGTCAGTCCTTCTGCTTCTCTCAAGACAAGAGAGGTACTTGAGGCAGCTTGGACAGCTACAATATAATTTCTGAGTAAATAACAGTATTATTTTCAGTTTGGCACTGGCTTTGGTCTCACAGTGCATAAAATGTTAATTGAGCTTGACTTTACCTTTCTGAAATTATGTATTCTTAGAAAACATCTTCTCCATTGTTCACACATGGGAAAGCAAGCCAGAGCAGTGAAAAGAGGAAAGGCAAGAAATATGATTTGAGAAAAAGCAAGAAATGTGCTTAAAAAAAAAAAATCACAAACATGGGAATCTGGTTGAGTGTTTAATTTATGTAAATTATTCTTTATTTTCAAAGGATGGAGTCAACAGAAAAATGTGAAGCAGTGATTGCTCATTTTAATGGAAAATTCATAAAGACACCAGCAGGAGTTTCTGGTATGTTGCATATATTTCTTACAAGATGTATGAATGGGTTAGTGCTCACATGGTGGAAGCCTGTTACACTGATTGTTGTATCTGGCTTCTCATTTAGAGGCAGGCTTATTAAAATTAAACTCTGTCTTTTTGGATGGCTGTAATGCTTGCTTGGAACACAGTATATTGCTTTTCTGTTGTAAACCTTTTCTGGGAATCTAGTAGTGTTCTCTCCTAGCAGAGAAACAAGCAGCTAAGATGCCAGCTATGTACAAATTTACATCCCATGTAATCCCAATTGAAGTGAGGAAATAAATATCTATCTGAACGGAATTTGGCTGCTTTTCCATGGACTGGGCTTTTTTCAGAGACAAAAGTGGGCTGGTTTTGTCATCTGTTGATGATTTTTTGAAGCATTTTTAAAAAAATATTTGCTTAGAAAAAAATGGAATCTGCAGCAGCGCCTGGCATGATCATTCACTGGGGAGCTGCAGCTCTCAAGTCAATGTAGATTTTAAAATCCTTCTGGAAAATGGAAGGAGGTCAGCATAGAATGCTTCTTCTAGAAATATTGTGCAAGGCAGAATTCAGAGAAGGCCTAGTAAAATTTTGTTGTCACACCAAGTTCCTCATCAGTTTGTCTGCTTTGTCAGAACTGTTTCTAAGAGACAAAATGTATATTCCATGAATACTGAAAAATGAGGAGAGGAAATTCAATGCTGCTGAGTAAAATAGAAAGTAAAGAGGACAATAAAGAAGGAAAGAATACATGCCTGACATTCCAGGCAGCTTTCAGTAGGCATTTTATTGAGAATCCCAAGTGGGAATTTTACAAATTACAGTGTTGATGTGGTTGGGGAAGCTGCCTTTATCCCACTGGTGAAATGTTCTGTGCAGCCGGACCCTGTCACTGAGGAGGAGGAAAGTAGCCCTCGGCAGGCAGACAAGAATGTGGCTTGTTTAGTAAAACTCCAAACATGCCTCATCCCTGAAAGATTGCTCCAGTTTGAGGCAGTCTGTGCTGCTGTAAGGATGGAAAATGCTTCAGAGCACAGGAAACCACTCCCTTCAGCAAAACTAATCTAATGCAGTATTTTGACTTCCCTAGCCTTGCTTTTGCAGACCTTTTACACAGGAATTAATTGCTGATGTTATTATTTAGTTAAAACTTTGTTACCAAGCTTTGGCAAATGTAAGCAGATTGTTGCATTTGTTACTTTAGTAACATTATAATTTTTTCTTTGTTACATTTAGTAAAAATGTTACAGCTTATGTAGAAACAGACAGTAATGACACTAAAGAACTGCAACAGAAGCTCCTATTAGTGCATTTTAGTTTTTTAATTTTTATTTTCACTTGCATTCTCCTGTTCTCAATGAATGAGCCATCAAGCATGTCATTGCTAATCATGCTCTGTCCCCAGTGGGTCTTTGCTGAAGCTGGAGTTGTACCCTTACATGATGAGGTTCAACTAGGTTGAAATAAAAGCTTGCTGCATGGAATTGTAGGAATGATTTTTGCAGTCTGAAGGAAACATTTAATATAAAAATATGATGAATTAGGGACGAGAAATTTGCAGAGAACTGTCCATTTTCTGAAAGTGGAAACTAAACAGGGGTCTCAAGATATAATCCACCTCACAGGCTTGAACTTCTAGTACTTTGCAAAGCAGCTGTCCAGGCTCCCTGTCTAGAACAAGTAGAGAAAAACACAGCTCCAGAGACTGTCCTTGCTGTTACAAATGGTATCTAGCTCAGTCAATCAGAAATAGATAACTCCAAATGTTTGAAAGTCACATGGGTCTCACCCTCCATGATACTGAAAATGAGACAAATAATCAGGTGCATAAGGGAGTTGTGAGAACCTTGGTTTTTAAAGACCCTCAATTTCGTTGTACAGGCCACAGCCTCTGCTCTGTTTCTGTGCTGGTGCTGTGAAGTTTCATTGCTCCTTGCAGAGGTTTTTGTGGAGATCAAATTCTTCCCAGAGTTCCGTACCACATAGCAAGCACCTGACCAATAATGCAGCCTATTAGAGAATTCAGCTTACACATAATAGTACACTGCAGTCTGCCAAAACGTGGGGTGGGGTCATGAGGCAGCTGTGATTTTGGACTGCCTGCAGAGAGAAAACTGGATGACAGTAGGAAAGCTCTTGAACAAGCAAAGATTAGGAAACTGTTTTGAAATAGATTAGTGACCATTGGGATTATAAAGGATCAACTTCAAACACATGCAAAACAAAATCATAAAACCAGATCTATGTTTAAATTAAAACATTCTGTCCTAGAAACTTGGCTAAAATCAGCAAAGGGAGCTGGCTCTAAAAACACTGTTATCAGGATGAAGAGGGTATGAGAGATGGGCCTGTAATGAAATAGGTGTGGGAGGAAGAACATTTGTTCAACAAAAATATGCTTTCATAATGCAGCTTTGTTATTTTAACTAAGTTCGGGCTTAAATGGAAGAATGGGTTAAACAGTTATAGAAAGCATGAGTGAAACCTCCTCTGGAGCATGAGAAGACACAATGAATAAAACCTCTAAGAATCTGGGAAGGCCAGGGATTAACACAGGGTGGTGTCAAAAGTGTCAACTCCAGAGTTAGGTGAGTGACTGGGCATTGATGATGCTAAGCAAGCTAAACCCAGCTAAACCCTGGCTATTCAGGCTTTATTTAACTTAATGAAATATATTCAGTATTTAGTGTGTCCTTGTTTATCTTCATTAAAGAAGAAGAAAGGTTAGCTCAGAGAACAATTTGAAATGCACTGCAAGTTGATATAACCTGAAACTCCTAGAAGTGATGTGTTAGTTTCACCATTTGTTGTTGGGCTTTGATATTGTGTTAGCTGGTTGTGTTTTATGGACTATGACTTCCTCTCCATTTTGTCACTGAAAATCAAACTCAGAACTTTAATTTTTGTACTTTATTACCTTCTCAACTATGATATATAACTATTATATGATTGTTATAATTTTTAAGTAACTTCTGCATTTAGTTTCACTCTCCTCCTTAAAGAACTATTGTTTTCAGTGAAGAATGTAATATTTAAAGCTTTTCTAGTCTCATGTGAAATGTATGACGTGAATTGGAGGAAACAGACCAGACTGGTATCAAGAGCCAGGAGCCAGCAGAGGAGCAGTGAGAGCAGAGCAGCAGCAGCATACTTAGCCTTCCTGCTCTAAAGATGATACTCAGTGTTCACTGGCTGTTCATCTTGTGTGGGACCCATAGTGATTGTAGAAATTATCTTCTGGGCAAAATCTTGAAGGGCATCTCCTCCCCATCACAGTAGCCTGTAGCTGTGTGGTGATACAGAAGAATAGTTATATAAACAATTACTTAAAGCAGCTGTGCTGTGGAATATGTAAAGTATGTGTAAGTCTGAGTGTATTTGTCTCTCTTATATATAAAATGAAAAATATAGAAGTTTAAAAGCTACAGAAGTTTCATGCTTGTTCTATAGGCTTTATTGATTATTTAATATTTCTTTTACTGGTAAAGAACTTAGGTGATTTGGATTTAATGGGTGTAAGGTAAGGAGCATTTTTGCTGAGCAGCCCATGCCATTTTTACTTCAGTAATGGATGAAGTAAATGGCTGGTTATGGTGATGATGCAAAAATCAAAAGTTATCCATGACCCACCCCTCTCTTCCCACTTAGGATAAAGAGATTGGTTGCTCAGATTCCCTTTTAGGGGAGAAAATTGAGTGTGTAAAAGCCCTGCTCCTGCCTGTGTTCTTGACTAGACTGGGAAGAGGTCCACCAGGGATGATGCACACTGTGGTTTGAAATGATCTGGCCTTGGACATCTTGCTAGGGTGGGGAGGAGTGAAAATGGAGCCCTGAAGTAGCTGTGTTCTGTCAGTCATATTCTAGTGTTTCCTAGTTTCTTACCTTTACAAAGTATCCAGCACTGAAGATCTGTAGTGAATTTAAGCTACTTGACTAAAAATTCAATTTTTCTTTCAATTATCTTTCACAAATCCTTTAGAAAAAACACATAAACCACTGCTACAGGGTATTAAGGGCTGACAGTGCTGATGTTACTCCTTGTTGTCACACTGAAGGCAGAGGAACAGAAATGTCATTCTTTTGATCAAGACCCTGAGATTAGTTTAGCTGGGCAGAACGTGGTGCTGAGGTACCAGGAATGTAGGTTTGATCCCTGTATGGGCCATTCACTTAAGATTTGGACCTGGAAGGGACCCACAAAGATCATCAACTCTGAATATTTTCTGAAATCTGTGAATTAGAGGTTTTACTGCTCTAACTCCCATAATTTGCAATTGCTGCTTAGTTTTAAGAAGTGACATAGGATTAGAAGAGAAAAATGCTTCTTAAAACCACTCAAAATATCCTTCTGTCACAAATTATTAAACCTTGTATAAATTATTAAAGCAATGTAATCCTGAGCATTATGTTTAAGTGAAGACTAGGATGGTGAAGAATAATACTGAATTTCTCTTTAAACATATAAAGCTACCCTGATCTTGGGTTACTCAATTTCTTTTTTAATTCCCACAGCCTTTGGCAAAAGTTTCTAGCTGTACAGGCTTGCTCTATCATTAAAGTGATGTTTTAGTGTCATAATTCATTAAGTCCCATATGCTTTGCACTAGAAAATAAGCAATGAATCTAAAAGATGCAGTTTAACTGAAAACTGTATTAAAGTATTTTTAAACTATTTTGTTATATTTTTCAGTAACTGAAAGTAGGGTTTATTGAAAAGTTGATAAAATTAGCCATGTGAAGTCAAGGGTGCAAACTCAAGGTCCAACAAAGAACATCAGTTTTGTTTTTGCATTTATAATATCACCTGGTACAAATTTGGGTAGACACTGAACAAAGACAAACTGAATTCTAAGGTACAGATGTGTGCAAAGTGTCTACAACAAGGAAGAATTTACTGGACTAATATTACATTAACATCTCTCTTCCATAAAAACACTAGCCCTAGAGGAGAGTGATTCAGGGCAGGAGGAGATGGTCAGCACTTTGCACAGCCAGGTTCTAAAGCCCTGACCTGATGGTGAAGGCCAGGAAAGCTCGTGGTTCCAGATCCCCTCAGTAGCTGCCGCTCCACAGGCACCTGCAAACCCCTGGCAGGGCTGGTTGGCACTGCCTGTCAGAGGAGTGGACATGTGAAACGTGGTGTCCTAGCTGCAAAAGCTTAACTCCACTAGAAGTTGTAGCCTTTTACATCGGGTACCTCTCAGCTGTGAATGCAACTCTGAATATTTGTGCTCTGCCTTTGTCTTGCACATACATACAAGTCACTGAATGATTAATTATCTGCTTCATCATTGGGCCTGCATAGTTCCCAGCAATTAAACAATAAAAATGACTCTCCCTTCCTTCCTGTACTACAAAAGATTGCTTAACTAATCTGTGGGACTTGTGAGAGCTTTTGTTCAAATATGTATCTGTCACATGCATGCACTTATATGCAAGAGAGAATGTGTTGCATATTCATGAAAACTGTGAGAAAAAGTAAGCTGAGGAAATAAGGTTCAGATTTAATTTTGAAGAGGGTGAGGTTGATGTTCCTTCTTTGGTAGGAGGGAGATCAGTAGGTTGAGATGAACTCAGGAAGGTTTATCTGTTTCTCATGAGCCTCCCTCTGGTGACCATCAGTCATTGTGGTGGTGCAGGAATGAACACGGTGTTTTTCAGGTCATGTGTATGGAAGGAGCAGCCAAAAATTGCAGTTGGGCTTCCCACTGGAGCTGTCCCCACTGTCAGCATTCAGATCTTGAAGCAGAATCAGGGAAGGCAAATGCTGTGCAGCCTGCTCACAGGAGTGCTGTATTAAATAGATGGTCTGCATGGGGTTTTTTAGTGTGGGTTGGAGCGTTCCCAGTGTTTGGCGCCTTTGATGGGTGCAGTGAGGAGGAAAGGAAGGTGGAAGGTCAGAGAAACAAGGGTTCCTATGGCTGGATCTGTGTTCAGGAAGATGGAGCACTAACCTCTAGTAGGTCACAAATTGATAGCTTTTTAAATGTTGGGCTTCTTCGTTGATGCAGGTTTTGGATATGATGTATGCAAAATCCTGTACATGTGGATAATTCTGACTCCATTTTTTCTTCCTCTTTAAGTTTGTCAGAGAATTTTTGCAATGCAATACAGAAGATGTTTAGTCATCTAAAATGTAGCTGGTTTGAGTTATCAACTGACAAAAAATTCAGATTTATTCTTATAATAGGTTTTTATGAACATTTTATTCAAGAAGTTGGACAGGTTTACTCTGCTTTTTCTTTTTTTTTTTTAAGAAAAGATCTTTACGTTGAGACAATGATGGGAAATGCAAGCACAAATTAGGCTTTCAAAAAAGTTTTTTATAATTCATTGTAGGGATTTTTAATGAAAGCATAATGCAGCTTTAAATAAAGCATTTACTACCTGTGAGGCTATGATACAGAATGTCAGGGCCAAAAATCTTTTTCTGATGTCTTTCTGTACTGTTCTCATGCCAGAGAAATTTAATTTTGAAATTAAATTTTGATTTTTCATCCAAAATTTTATAGTGCATATTTTGGAAGTCACATATGCTCCTCACAAAACTAGATTTTTTTTTTAGATAATGTAAAAGTAGACAAAGATATTCAACTTGGGGAAGAGCTTTTTTTCATTTAAGTCCATTAACTTCAGTATTTGGACCTCCTCTCTCAGAGAATGGATTTCTGGTTTCCACACTGTGTGAAACCAATCAAAATTGTTTCAGACCAGAACCTGAGAAATTCAGCCATATTGGCTAACATATTCTGAGATTACCTCCTATTATTTCAGCAGAACTGTATGCGGACTAAAATGCTGTGTGCTACGACCAAGGTTATTAGATATGGCTTTTATAAAGCAGCATCAAATCATCCATCACCGTATTGATATAGTACCTTTTTGCTCCAAATACGTTGAAAGAGAAGTTGCTCATAATAGAAGAGCCCAAAGCAAAACTCAATTTTGGTAATGCCAGAAATCCCCTCAGAAATACAAGGTTTTGAAGACAGTATCTTCCAGTATTTCTCCTACTTTTCAGTTTCTGTAATTTCCTTGCTCATTTACTCCATCGTCCATGGGTCTCCTATATTTTTCCAGTGCCATTAGCCTAACCTTCTCCTAGTTTATGATTATAGGGTTTTAATTACCATTCTCTGAAGGATAATACATTTTAAATTTATTCGGTTGTCATGTTTAATGTTGTAGTCTGACATTCTGTATAACAGCACCCAGGTAGGAGAGGTCCAGGTCTCTGACCTGTGTGGTCAGTGCTGGAGATGAGACAGGGAACCACACACCAGTTCTGTCTCCTTTTTTATAGAGAAGGCTGTCACAAGATGTGTCATGCAGGAAGTGGATATTTTTCCAGTAGAAACAGAGCTAGTGTTTTAGGTGTGACCTCCAAAGTCGGGGATGACTGGTCCATTAATGTTTGTTTTGTGCCAAAGTTTTAAAAGTCAAGCTCTTTGTGAGGTTACGCATCCCTGAGGGTTTTCAGTACTGATCATCTTTGCAAATGCAGACAGGGTGAAGAGACATCAGCACTCACCATGGTTATATTAATAGATTTTGTTGAAAATTTTTCTTAGGGTTGTTTTTTTGCAGGTGGCCTTCCCACCCCATGTGTTTACGCGGCATTTGGAAACTTGTATGTTTTCGGGTCCAGCCATGTCTCATGAAGATGTTTCCAAACAGAGAGTGACTGGAGGAGTGTCATGGTAAAGCTTAGACAGCTCATGTGTCAGGAATTATTGGCAGAGAAGCGTTTACATCCAAGTCATAACAGTGCTTCCACCCTGTGATTAGGGAGGGTGTGGTGTGATGCAGCAGAGCTGTGCTTCAGCCACAGGTACTTGGAAATGTGGAAACTAAGAACAGGGAAAGAAGGAATGCTATGCAAACCTTTTCATTGCTTCAATTCTGACATTAAAAATTGAAGTCATGCTCAGGATTATGTTAGGAAAAATAATAATAACAATAACAAGAAAAAATAATAAAGTATGGCGATGCTGTTTCATGGCAGTATGCAAAAAAACCCCAAAAGGACAATCTTGAAGAATTTCTGGTTGCATTGGGTGTTCTTTATAGAGCAGGGATAACATGGGAATGGACAATTGTGGCATTTTCTCGATGCAAGGCCTCAGGACATAAAGGTGCCTCTTCTGGATAAGTAAAACACTGTAAGTTTTAGGACATTACTGAAACCTCCAAGTGGTGGAGAGAATGTATTACACACCTCTGGCCAGCTTTTTTCTCCATTCTCCTTAGATATACTTCCAAAGAGACAAAGCTCAGAATTCAGATGGCAGTTTTTGTTGAACCCAGACCAAGAGACACATACTCAGGATATACAGACCATGTTTCCTTCCAGCAGGTTTTACAGCAGTAGTTTAAAATCAAATTGATAAGGCATTCCAGATGCTCTGCGTGTGGCAGCTGTCTTTGTGCTGTGCTGAACGGCTGTTGATGGTGTAGTACAGCTCTGTGTTATTGAAGTGTCATATTCGGAATAAAACTTAAAACCATACCTCATTTGGAGAGTTGAACACCTCTGTATCAATGCTACTTCAACTCATTTTTCTTCTTTCTTCTCAGTTCCTGCAGAACCTTTATTGTGCAAGTTTGCTGATGGAGGACAGAAGAAGAGGCAGAATCAGAATAAATACATACAGAATGGAAGAGCATGGCACAGAGAAGGCGAGGTGAGACTTGTAAGTCCTCCCTTCAAGCTTTAGTGTGGGTGTGCAATAATGAATGCTTAGGAAAATGATAGGCATTGAGACTTCTTGGCTTGGGTCTTTGGCATATTAAAAATGTGCAAGCAACTCTCACCTGACAGTTTGTGTCTCTATAAAAAAAATACTTAACCACATCTTTCTTCTGAGGAGAAAAGGCAAAATTTGAAATGCCGAGTCCTGTCTCATTGAAGTGAACAATAAAATCTCCTTCAACTTGGTCATAATACAAACTTCAGCTTTCTCATATTATTAAACTATCAGAAACATAACTGTGCTTACATGCAGAAATAATCCTTTGATCTATGCAACACTAAAATGCACATCACTTTCACAAGATTAAAATGGTATGCCAGTGCCATGTAGCATTATTATTTTTAGTCAACAGTTGTTTTAAACTTTAATGTTCAAGGTAATAGTTTCATGTTACTGTGGCTAGCAAGCTTAGACACCTCATTTATATTACACAGGAAAATTCAAATGTGCCTTCTGAAAAACTGCACTCCCCATTCAGTCTTATAGGTCATAGATTGTAGGCAACACCCTAACACAATCATCTGCATGCCCTGAATCTCAAACACACACGTACTTTTAGCCAGGTGTTTAATAGATTGCATTTTGTTCCTCATAATTGGAACATGGAAACTTGTATTCACAAACAATATTGCTGATTTGCTTCACTGTATAATTACTTCTGTCAATTAAACTTTCCCTAAGTTTTGGTAATAAATTATTTCAATACAAATTTTTAGTTAAAAATGAGACAACTAAAGAAAGAATAAGAGAAATAATTTACAATTAAAATTAATTTTGTCTACTCTTTATTTTCCACTTTTTTTTTAAAGGCTGGAATGACACTCACATATGATCCAACCACAGCTGCTTTACAGAATGGGTATGTTGAGTAATGGCATACAAAGAAAAAAAATATGTTTGCATTATGAAAAATGCACTAAACTAGCATTTAATAAATATTTCTGCATTTTCTAGATTTTATCCATCACCCTACAGTATTACAGCAAACAGAATGATCACTCAGACATCTATTACGCCATATATTGCTTCTCCAGTTTCTACATACCAGGTTTGTATTTAGAGCTTGGCAGCTGAAATGGTTCATTGGAGCTTATGCTTATTTATCAATTGTTACATCTGGCTTGATGAGGTCTCCAATAATGCTACATTTTAATGAGGTGGCCTCCTTGCACTGTACAGCATGGAAGTGACAGCCTGAAAACCTGAGTGTGTGTTTCAGGAAGCACAGTGCTTTAATGAGACCCTGGTGTCTTGCAAAATCAAGTCTCTGACTTGTGCTGATGGCTGAGGGATTTGTAGACACTTCTGCATTTCACGGGAGATTTTTCATTTTCTCTCAGTCAAATTCTTTTAATGTCACCAGTATATTTGAAGTAATTATTCTTTATTTAAAGCCTTATTGGATTAATTAAATTCATTTTTAAAGATGGTTTTTTCATGCATTTTGATCTTTTCTCTGGTGGTTTTTTTTTTTTTTTCTCAGAAAGCCCCACACAATATCTTATGTAGTTGTACTAAGAAGGATACAGAAACATTTTTGGCATTAGAGAAGGAAATTTGAAAAAAAGAGCTCCGGGTTCAAATTACTTTAGGATTCAAATTCAGTGTTTTTGTATTAGGAGTAAAGAATTTAATAGCCTAGGACAGTATTTCTAAACCAAAGTCTACTTTATTTTGAATGATAAATTAAAATATAAATTGTGGACATTTTTGGTCCAAAGCTTTCTGAAGAGGGATTTTGATAGGTGCCATCTTGAATCCTCATAAGGGATATTGATATACAATTCAACACACTGGGAAATTATATGGAACAGTTTTAGCACTTCGATATAGATCTCTTAGGAGTCCTCAATTTTAGGGCATCGTACATGTCAGATTACAAACAACTTGCTTTAAATACAACTAGTGTGGAAGTCTCAGATGTGTTCTCTGGAATTTCTGCTTGAGACATGCCAATTATGGCAGTGTACTCTAAATGATGGGCTTTTTTTGGCATTTTACTGTTTAACACATAGATGAAGTGAGCAGCAGCGATTCAGGTCATAAATAACCCAAACTAATTAAATTTAGAGAATTCTTACCTCTGTGTTTCAGGGGAAGAAGAGGCTGTTTGCTTTCTAGTGAGACAGACATGCTGAGCTTTCTGATGTGCTCTGTGTATGAATGGGTGTGCAAGGGGGAGGAAGAAGGCTGACAGAGGCACTGTGGGCCATTTCATCAACTGCCTCCTGCAGAAATGTCCATGTCGCCTTCAATTCCAAGTGAGGAGGATGAGGAAGAATTGTCTAATATTAGTCTGGAGATCTAATGCCATCTTGCACGAGCAAAGTATTGTGTAGGAGTTAAAACAGTGTTCTGTGGCGTGAAAGGCAGCTGGATTATTTTAATATTAATTTCTGAGGAAACATGCAACACAATGTTTACTCTCAGCAGACAGTGCTAGACTGTATTTTTCAGTGTACTGAATCATTCTGCTTGCTACTGCATTACCTCAGAAATTACAGTAAGTTCTTACCCAGGAAAATATTTCAGTAAAATTAACTGCTATTCTTTATTAAAATATAAATTATTTATCAATATAAGACTCTCTGATATTCAGAATCCAAGTAAAAATTGGAAGTTGGCATGGAAACATACTACTTAGCAATATGGTATTATTTTTTGGGCTTATTGAGATAGACAGACCACAATCCATTATGTTTCCAGAAATGTAGTTACCAGTATTTCAATATACATGGCATGGAGCTTAAATTATTGTGGATGGAGTTATTAATATCATTATGCTTGAAGTGACACAGTAATTGGAATTGAAAATTAAATTGAAGTATTCTGTAATGGGGAGGAAGGAGGTTCGTGGCCAGAAGAGTTTCACAATTTGAGTATTAGTCACATCTTCATTACTGATCCCTTCTCACTGAAACCTGCAGCTTTCTGTCTTCTACACCACAGGACGTATAACACAAGCAAAGGTTTTGGGTTTTTTTTCTTTGTGGCATGGTATAACCTGCTGCTAAGATTTATTCTTATTCAGGTAAACAAATTTAATAAAGTTTTGGCTAGTGTTTGTTCCTGCAACCCCAAATACCCAAATGACTGCACTGAGCCAGTTACTATCACAGTGCAGATTAGCCAAAGCTTTAGTCAGGCTGTACCGGTATTTTTGCCATTAAGATATCGCCTGAGGAAAGGGAGTGTTCCAGTCTTTTCCATTCCATTTTTGAACTCCTGTTTGCTCTTTTCCTGACTGAAAAACAAAAAAAAGACAAAACCCAACTCTGGTTTGAAACTAAGAACCAAAAGGAGGCAAGAAATATTTCCATCTTCCAGAAAATACCTCACCTGGATTTTTTTCAAGGCTGTGTGTTTACCTGTCCTGTTCACAGAATCTGGGGATGATGGCAGAAACATTTAAAAGGCTTTAAATGTCCAGCAGCAGTGGTGAGCCTGCTCTGTGTGCGGTGCAGGCCAGGTTCCTGCCTTACCCAACACACCTACACCAGGTGGGGAGGAAACATTTTTGTCCTTTCCTTTAGTATTTCTTGCACGCTTTTTCGGAGAGCTGTTGCAACCAGCTCTTTTTCACCAGGATAACAACGTAACCTTTACTCTCCCTTTTTATATTTCACTTTGTCATGCAAAGTTAGGCATTCTACTGCAATTGAGGTATTTGGGCCATCACCTATTTTGGAGAGAAAATATTCTTGTTGCAGGAGCAGGGACTCTCATCAGAACCTCCTCCTCTTCCTGTGTTTTGGGAATAACACACCACAACGTCTCAGAGAACAGCACTCCTAAATCTTCTTTTTTTCTGGAACAAGATTACAGCAGAATTCCTGATTGTTTTTTCAGTTGTGAAAATACAATAATTTATTTTAATCAGATCACACTAGAAGGCAAATGGTGCTATACTTTCTAAGGTCCCAATTACTTTTCCACAAATGAATTTCTGAGACAGAAGGAGCTTCCTTTTTCAACGTAGCAGAAATCTGCCATTCATCTATTTGACCCCTTTCACTGTACATGATAGTTTCTGAAACCTGCACTAAAAACATTGTCTTCTGTTCTGAAAGGTGTATGTGATATATGGTCTCCAAATCTTGTCTCTGATTTACAGGTTACAATGAACACATTTTTCATAGGAATCAATGTTGTTCCAGAGAGGGACTAATTGGGTTAAAAAGTCAATAAATAAGGGAGGAGGCATGTTAACATTATTTAAGTTATTACTATATCTAAGTTGGAGTAATGTGTAAAATTAAAAATAAAGTGTCAATTTTGTTCTAGGTTCAGAGTCCTTCTTGGATGCAGCCTCAACCATATATAATGCAGCACCCAGTAAGTTTTTATGCTTCTCCATTGTTGTGTTTATTTATTATATAATCACTTTACATACTTTAAACCACAGGAAGTATGCCAATTCCTGACCAATTACTTCCATGGATCAAAATGAAAAGTGGAACAAAGACAGTAACCTGAAATGGGCCCTGATTTTATTAGGAAAAAAAAAAAAGAAAGCTACCTTTAGAGTATCAGTGTGATGAGGACCATTAGAGAAGACTTCCAAGAGGAAACTTAGTGTTGTTGGGGTTTTTTTGTTTTATTTTATTTTACTTGAAATGGATAGCACTTTGCAAATGCCAAATGCTTTACATACTGTCTACCTTTCAGGAGCTGAAATTGGAGACCCAGTGTTTTAGAATAGGTCTGCAATAGTTCAGACTGGATAATTTGTGAAAGACAGATGGATGTAGTGATATGAATGACATTATGGGCACTCACTAGAGAAAACCTGCATAGCTTGTTCTGGCTTCACTCATGAGTAATGCTGGTCTCCCTGCACTTCTGGCTGTGGCATCTGCACCAGACTGTCAGGCATTCTAATCTCTGCTCTCCTGCGATATTTTGCTTCTTGTCTGTGTCATTTGCCAATTAAATACCATTACATCTGAGACCTACTGGGTTTCTTGAGATGAGCATTACTAATAATAAGAGGCACTTCAATACATGCACTCCCATAGTTAACAAACAGGTCTGTTTCCAGATGCAGAAAGGATATGGACTTCAATTAACCTCTCCATGCATATTATAGAATGTAAGTCTTCTTGGCAGAACATTTTCTTCTTGGGCATGTAGAGAAGGTGATGTTGAACAGAGCATCCTCTCACACACTTAATTGTTGTTGTATTTGGGGTTTTTGATGTTAAATACACATACACAGAGTAGGTTTTAACTTCCTTCTCTAGCAATACAGATTTTCATAAAACAACATCCTGCAAATAATGCTGTGAAAGACAAAAGTTGATATGTTACAATGGTGTATTAGTTTAGGTGTGTTAGTTTCACAGGTACACAAGATGAGATTTCACAGTTGAAAATAAAGACCTAGATTCTAGACTGAAGTTCAGTTTTGGCCTGTGCAAAGACAGGTGCTGTCTTGCTCATTTGCTTTTCAGAGAAGCCTGCAGTCTACAGACAGGAAATTCTTTCAGTGTTTGATGTGCCTGTGACTCATTTCATCTACACTGATCACATGGTTGTTTTTCCAAGTATATTCCATACTTCTTTTTTTTTCTTTTTTTTTTTTTTTTCATTTTAAGGATTAGTTATTGATTCAAAGTACTTGCTTTCAGTACACTGCAATTATTTCTGTTCATTTTGAGCCTCCATTAGTTTTGATCAACACCTTCTGCAAGAATAAGTCATACAAAGTATTTGGGAATGTGTTTTTATGGAACGTGATTGGTAAAATGAAATTTCTTTATAATCCTCCATTTCAGTTAACTCTGAAAACCTGTGTGCTGTCCACATTTAGCAATCTAAAGTGTTTAGAAGTTTAGAGTATAATTTTTATGAACCTAACAAAATGGTACATAAGCAATAGAAATGTCATCAAGAGCAGCTGGTATTTAGACAAAGAATCAGCATTGCTAAGTCACTGTTCTGAAATGTGTGTGCTAATGAAAGCAGCCACTAAGAAGGCTGTCTTGTGTGTGAACATCGTGTGTGATGGGTAGGAACTCAAATGTTCCTCCTCCAAAGCTGCTATTCCTAAAGATGATATAAAAGTTTCTTCCTGAAGCATGAAATTCCAGAGCTTAAGCTCAGTGAATCTGTACCAGGTAACTTGTGCAAATTTTTGCTTTCAAGTCAGCATCTGGTTAAACTCATATTTTCCAAAGCATTTTGAGCAGGTCTCTCAAGTGTATTGCACATCAGTTGAATGTCCAACAGGAAGTCAAAGCAGGTCTTCTACCTTGAGCATCTACAGATGCTCAAATAAAATATTCAGAATGCCCCAGACTTGTTTTTCGACTCAGTGACTGGGATTAAGGACAGTTCTTGTGGTACACCCCCTCAGAAGGACAGCCCATACTTAGACTCTCAAATCAAAAATTAAATCTGAGTGCTGCAACCATTTCTTTGTTTCTCTGTTTTAACAGGGTGCTGTTCTGACTCCCTCCATGGACCACACCATGTCACTACAGCCTGCATCCATGATAAGCCCTCTGACACAGCAGATGAGTCACCTTTCATTAGGCAGTACTGGAACAGTATGTAGCAATTTGATACCAAATAGAACCTACCAAGTAGAAAATACTGCATGTAGATCACAGTATCCCTGCGCAGCTTGCATGTGGGAAAAAGTAATCCTAGAAGTCATTTTATGTCTAGTAAATTATTAGGAACTGTCTCCATTTTAAAATTATATTCAGCAGCTTCAGTCCATTAGCTGATCAGAAATTGGAAATTATTAAATAAAAATAGACCAAAACAAATGAAAGGCATCCAGGAGGTAACTTCAGGGTTGCATCCAAAATATTAAAAATACTTGGTTTTACTCTTTATATTCCTTTCTGCAACTCTAATCTCTTGAAGTGTGGAACAGAAGTTAAATCAGAAGAGATTCAGACTTGCCTCTAAACTTCAAGACCCTTCTTTTCAAATCAGATGGAGTTAAAAAAAGAAAATATGGTGACTGAGGTTAACAGAGAAGGAAAAGTCCTTTACATAGTCTTTGAAGTCTAAATTTAAATTTTCTCAAAATAGATAAATGACTTTTCTGGAAAGCCTATTGATTTCAGACACAAAAGTCTTTCTCTCATGTATATTGCTTTAGGGAAGCAGTCAATATCTGTTAAGCAATACCATGACAGGTATTTTGAATACTTTTATATTGGGCTTTCACTCACTGTAATGGTCTCTGTCTTTCTAGTACATGCCAGCCACAACAGCTATGCAAGGAGCCTACATCCCCCAGTACACACATGTCCAGACAGCAGCAGTTCCTGTTGAGGTCAGTATATTTTATAAAAGACCAGAGATGAGAAATATTAATACAATTTTTTTTTTTCTAGGAAAATGAGTGCTCAGAGGCAAATATTGTAACTGTGAATGTACTGTGAATGCCACATGTATTAAAACGATGAAATTTCATTATTCTCAACTAAAGAATTACCTGTACTTATGGTAATACATACTCAGAGCAATCTGCTCTATGAGCATAGCTCAGGCAAACCCTGTGTTTTGTCAAACATAACTCCAATAGTAACAAGCCAGGGAATGTCTTGTAGTTTTGATCTTTCACTTTGTTTACCTGTGTACAAAATTATTTGCCAGCAGACCTTGATTGTAGCTTTTTGCAAAGCATCCTGATTTGACCCTTGCATGTCTCAGGATACTCTGCATGTTTGTCTAATAAATCTCTCCATCGAACAGGAATTTATTTCTTTCATTGGAGAGCATATCATAAGTAAGCTAACAGGATACTGTGCATGTTTGTCTAATAAATCTCTCCATCGAACAGGAATTTATTTCTTTCATTGGAGAGCATAGCATAATTTATCTACTCCTTTGGCTTACCTTACAGCCTTTCATAGGTCAGTACTACTTTAACAGAGGAGCTAGACAAGGCATGCTGCAGCTCATGTATTCAGAATGAGTGCCATACAGTCTCTTCCAGAGCCTGTAAGAAAAAACCATTTCATTTCAAAGTCTGTTTATCCAAAAACTCCAGAATTTGTTTGATTAATTTTGGTGCATCTGCCTATGTGGATCAGAGGAGTTCTTTTGGTAATTACCTGATTGCTCTGTCTGCCAGAGCACTCTCAGCTGAATTAATTGCCTGATTTCTGGGGAGCCTAGTGGAAAGTCCCATCTACAATTCTTTGTGTTGCCTAGTGCCAACTCCATCACAGTTGTTATAGTGTTTCTGTGGTAAGTTGATATCATTCTTCTCCCTCCCCTTCAAAAGGAGAGGGACAGAATGCTCATTTACATCTACAGATAGAAAATATTCTAGCAGTTATTTCCTCTCACTGTTTATTTCTATAATGTCAAAAGTTTGAGGGTTTTTTTTTTCATTATCATCAAAGCATTTGAGGAAGTGCAAAGTTTGCATGATCATTTAATTCGTGTTTGCTGAAATATTCATGGAGGTAAAGTTAACACCTCAGATTTAGAATACCTCACTTGAGAAATGTGATGAAGATTTGAGATTTGAAGACTGTTAATTGCATGAGTCAAGTGGAAATAAAGAGTGCAGGTAATGCTGCTTGATTTTGTGTCTCATGGTTTGTCTTCCTTTTTATTTGCAGGAAGCCAGTGGTCAGCAACAGGTTACAGTAGAGACATCCAGTGACCATTCTCCATATACGTATCAGCAAAATAAGTAACTGTGAGGTAGGGGCTCATCCTGTCTCATCAAAGATGTGAATTCAAAGATGCTTTATTTCATAATTTACAGTACTCTGTATTGAACTTTTTTTAAAATGTCATATAAATAATACTGATGATACTATCTGGGGACAGTGAAGCTGATGTGAACGTGGCCAGAGTCAAAAGCCAGGGAAGAAAACCTGGGATCCAGAAATTAATTAATGAATTCTGAGTAATATTGTATTAATAATTTCTCTATACCATAACTGGATTATGTTGGATTTTAATTTGTTCATTTTAGCAGCGTGCTGTATACAGAACAACAATGAATTAATGCAAAAATACAAGAATCAAAATGCTAAAGGGAACTGTACTGATAGACATATCGTGCCTAGTTTTGTGGTGCATGTAAGAGTAGAAGCAGCTTGGTGGCTGACTTACAGACCACAGGCAGGGAGGCAGTCTGGTAGAAATCCTTGCTGTCCTTTTCTCCTGAAGACTTCCCTGCTCATCCTTTTTTCTAGAAAAAAAAGCAGTTTGGTGCAGAGTTTTGTCAATTTGTTTTTAATCCAAGTCCTCATTTGGCTTTAATTCCAGAGTTTTACTTTCATACTCCAGGTTTCCTCTGGTTCTGCTTGCATGGCCTTTTTTTACTAGCAAATTGTTAGTTTTACCTGAACTTACTTCATACAAAATTGTTTCACTTTCTGTACATTTCCGTCCTAAGAATGCTACTTGCACTAACTGTTCCCTTTTCCATGATCCATGTTTTAGAGTTCTAGAATTTAGTACTAGTCTTTTTTTTTTCTTTTTTTTTAGTGCTTTGTAAGCCAGGCAACTTGGCTACATAATTTTTTACATCACATTTTCTAAGACCTCACACTGAAAAATTCCATTCATCTGCAATAATGTGCTGGAGGCCATGTTAGAAGGGCTTTTCTTCAGCCCTTGTGGCATTTATTTGATACTGAAAAATCAAAATCAGTTATGTGCTACCATTGTGTGATATCTCTCTAAAATGTATTGATCCAACAAAACACACATTTTGGCATTAGCTTTGATCCTGCAGGTCAGCTGTGCTGTTTGACAGCAGTGCTCTCATCCCCATTGCTGGCATAAGAGATTCTTATGTGGAAAGACAGAAACAAACCAATGGGGAAACTTGGCAAATCCAACCGACGGCAGAGCCTGCGTAGCACAGCATGTGACCTGTGTTATTCCTGTAGTCGGGCCAAATGCTGGCATCTAGAGGAAGCCCACATCCTTGATTTGCTTCCAGGGCAGGCAGAAAGCAAAGCCACAGGCTCTTCTCGTTATCCATCTCCTGGTGTTAAAATCATGACTCCTGCACGTTTCCCATGCCAAGGCTGTTGCCTGGTGTTAACCGCTTTTCACGGAATTATTTGTTTTGCCTTAAGTCTTCCCTGTGGGCATGTAAAACCTCCTTACCAACAGAGATCTGTGGTAGCCAGCGAAGCGTAATCCTGCATGTCACATCCCCATCCTGCCTCTCTCTCCCAGCCTGTCAGTATCTTTCCCCATAGACTGAGGCCAGGCAGGAGGAACAGCCTTAAGTCTCCTGAAAGGATGAGTTGTTGTTGCCATCTGAGACACATTTTTGTATTGATGACTCTTTGTAGAATTCCAAGCTCTGTGAGCAATTCTGTGTGTTTGCTGTAAGTCAGTTCTTCACTTATTTTATTCTTCAGAGAGGCACTGTTACCTGTATTTATATGTAGTGGGAGCAAGTGAAGTCTGTGTCAGCAGAGGCTGTAGCAGTGGGCACATGGGGAAGGTTAATATTACCCAGCTGATTTCAGCCTCAGAGCATGGCATTTGGTATTTCTGTCCCTGGAACATGCTGGCACTTGTCTTGTTTCAGACAGGTGAAGGGGAGGGAATCAACAGTTATTTCATGCCCTAAATACAGGGAACACTGCAGTCTCTTGATTGTTGTGGCTTTGTCACTGTTGTCAAGCTGAAAATTCTTTCTAAATGCACATGCAGCACTTTTGGGAATGTCCTACTGAAAGTCAGTAACCATATTCCCATAATCTGAGGGGTAAATTGCAACTAGCACATTTGCATGAGTGGATGCAGTCAATCAGAAATACAGTGTTTTCCTCTGGCAGCTACATTTAATAACTTTATAGCTTCTTTTCAAAAAGTTGCTCCTATGTGAAAAATAGTCAAAAGGACTTGAAAAAAAACCCCAAACCTGTTTTATATACCTACAAATGTACAAGCCTTAAAATACCAAACTTTGCCTTGCTTTGAAAAATTTAAAAATTGTCTCAACTTCTATGTCATTAGCTGGGTATTTTTTTAAACCCATGTGGCAACATAAGCCAGCACGTTAAGAAGTCTGCCTTCAAATTTGATGAGCCCTGACTTGCTGTTCAGTATTGCCGTCAGGGAGGCGCAGTAGCTGTGTCTGTCTCCGCTGTCGTACGTAGCCGTAGCCTCGTTGAGGCTGCACCAAAAGAAAGTCATTGTTCCTTTTCCAGAGCCTTGGAGATGGCACAAGAGTAGCACATTCAACCACTTTTGGTCAGTTAAAAGGAACAACAACAGAACAGCAAAGAAGGGAAGAGCTTTGCGTGCAGCCTCACGGTGCCCATGGAGCTCTGTGTGCTGAGCAGTTGTTAGGGAGAGAGGGGGAAATGCAGCAGGGGCTCTGTCCTGGTGGAGAGCCTTGTCCTGGGAAGGGCCAAGCACCTGCAGTGCTGCCTGTGTTACCTCCCAGGTTTACACTCAGATTCATTTAGTCTTCTCACAGCTGTCTAAAATAGGAAATTAGTTTGTTTTGTGGACAGCTACGTTAGAAAAAAGGTGTGTGATTGTAACTGTGCTCTAGCTCTGACCTTTCTGTGTTACAGATGTCCAGTGTTGACCTGGCCTGGAGAAGGGTGCAAAGGCTGAAACAATCATGGATTTTACTGATCAATTGTGCTTTAGGAATTATTGACAGTTTTGCACAGGTTCTTGAAAATGTTATTTATAATGAAATCAACTAAAACTATTTTTGCTATAAGTTCTATAAGGTGCATAAGAAAAACCTTAAATTCATCTAGTAGCTGTTCCCATGAACAGGTTTATTTTAGTAAAAAAAAAAAGTTTTTATCAAGTGTTATGACGCAAAAAAAAAAAAAACCTTCAAATTTCTGGGTATGCACAGATGACCACGAAGACTTATTCACGTGCATGACAGAATTTGTGTTTTGGTTTATTTTTATTTTGTTTGTTTCTTTTTATCTTTTTTTTTTTTTTTTTTTTTTTTTTTTTTTTTTTTTTTTTTTTTTTTTTTTTTTTTTTTTTTTGTATGAAATGGATTTTCTGAAGTTTAAAATAGTAAAACATCTAAAATGATGTTCTGTGCTTGCAGTGTGTGAGTGTTGCTTTAGTGCAGTGTTGCAGTTATAGTGTCTGGTCTCTTAGCTTTCTGTTTTTCTTTTAATGTAGTGTGAAGTGTCTTATCCTTTTCTATAAATTCCAATTTGCCTTAAATCTTTCAATGCTGTAGCTGTTTCAGTAAGTAGTCCAAACTAATGGTGTAGAATGCTTTGACCAAATGAGCTGGTCTATTATGCCTTGTAAAACAGCAGCATAGGGCTTTTAAAGGTAGTCAATAAAAATTGCTGAAAATTTGGCTTTTTTAATGTGTAGTAAGTGTTTTTAATGATTTTTTCACATAATATGTAAGGTAGTGAAATGCAAGAGGGGAAAAAATGTTTTGTGTGAAACACATTTTCTGACTGGGGAAATTTTAATAGTATAAATTGTTTGTAAGGCCATATGCCAATAGTTCCCTCTGGTAGTTTGAATGACTTAGGAACTCTGCTGTATGATGCAATGTAAAATCTTTTTTTGCCTTTTTTCAGAAACTAACTTGATGTTCTAGTTTTAGCATAGGTAGAGTAGGGAGTTTGGGGTGGAGATATCACCGAATGTTTTTGTCCTTCCTTTATACTAATGATAGTGCTTTAGGATGAGGATTGTGCTGAGAGGTAGCAAACAGAAAAGTTGCTATTACAGCAAAATGGCAAAAGCTAAAGGACTCGTTTTCAAACATATGCTGAGATTTACCTAGAAACATAATTGATTGGGTACTAGCTCTCTATAGTAGGTAAATAAAAATAAAAAGACTTGGCACTTTTAAAAGGTAACTTTACCAAAGAACAAAGAGCCAGTAACCAATAATTCTGATTTGTCTCAGCATTGCGTCTTCTGTACTCTTTATTTTTGCCGGACCAGTTTGCGGTTAAGAGAATGTGCCTTTTTTGTACATTTGCATTTAGGTTTTATAATTTTAATTGATGTATGGACACAAAAGCATGAAGGAAGACTTGGATCCAAGCAGTGCCACACTTTACATCATCACTACAAGTGTTAAGTGTAAAGAAAACCAATTTTGAAACTATGAAATTCCTGATTCATAAATACACAGTTATTTGTACTTCACATATTAGATAATTCACTGCTACTAAAGCTTTTTATTACAATTGCATATGTTTTAAATTGAATGATAAATTAAGTTGTCTTCCAAAACTGTGTACTTCTCTGGTCAGCTGTATATGATCAGTTATCTACCTCAAAGTTTATTTCCTTTTGTATTGGGACAGGTTGCTGGCCCTCCCTGTTTCCACAGACCAAATCATCCTAGCTCGGGAGCTAGGGCTAAGCAGTTGTTTCTTTCAAGTATTTTTTAGTTTTTAAATTTTGTGTGAGTATTGGAGTATAGATGTCGGTGACATTTCATAGTTTCAAAAGTAAATTGCTGCTCTGAGAAGTGTAGATTCTAGTGAAATGCATAGTCATAAGAGATGTGTTTTTGTTTTTTCTTTTTTTAAAAAGTTGTGGTATTATTGGTTCTATGCTCCCTGGAATATTACTGCTTTGTAAAAGTCCAGACTTCCTGCAGCACCTTGCCTGTATTTGGTAACTTTCCAAACCTGGATCTCTCACTACTTGCTATTTTTGCATTAATTAAAAACTGCAGTATGATAGCTCTGTTAGAGGGAGGGAAGAGTTGCTGCCAGAAATGTCTGAACTAAGTGCCATACTCATTGTCTGGGTAAGATTTGGGAAATTTAACCTCTGTACATAAAGAAATAATCAGTTACTTAAACATCACATAGTAGACAGCCATTAAATTATAAAAAATTAATTTATGAAGAAAGACCTTTTGTACAGATTGAAAAAAAAAAAAGATTTTCATAGAGATATCTATATGATCAAGAGAGTTAATTTTTTATTTTTGTTTTACTAGTGCCACAAACTTGCCAGTGGTAACTTATTTGTCCGGTTCAAGATAACTCTGTAGTTTTGTTTCCTAGGACTTGTTGTTAAACGCCAAAAGACATTTTTGAACTGTAAATTTGATTAGATTGTTAGCTTTTTCTGTTTTATTTCTTTGAAAACTTTTGAATAAAAAAGATCCAAAAAAATGAAAATGCATCGTCTTTTTCCTTCGGCCCTTCCTTTATTGGGGGAAAACCCAAACAGGTTATGATAAAACTTATGCATTTATTTTGAGATGTTTGGAATTGCTTTCTGCATGACAGCCTGGGTTTTTTTCTCCTCTATCCTTCGTCAATACCAAATTTTAACTCTTTCACACCACACTATGACGTCATAATTCTTTCAAGCAAAACAGGAAAAGATATATGAAAAATATATTATGAGATGTCAGATTTGGATGCAAGAACTCTGTTCCGCTGTGTGTCAGCCCACACAGGGAGTTGTGTGTAACCAGGCTTGTGTGCTGTGGCTGTAAATGCCATTTTCCCGAGGTAAGGCTGGAGATGGAGGGTCACTTTGGTAGATCGTGGCACAGGACCACTGCCTTCAATGCTTTTGCCTTCCCATGTGTGCTGACATTGGCTGGAATACCCAGTTCTGGAGAGCAGAGATGACACTGCGCTGGGATTCAGGAGATCTCCAGTGCTGACCTTCCAGCTGCCATCTTTGAACCCTGCATTTCCTTAAAGGTGATCTCTGATTTTATTATCCCTTTGGCAGGATCAGTAGTGCTGGTGGTGTGTGTCAGGTAGAGGACTGCTCTGACCAAAGTAAGGCTTGGGAAAGCAAGAGGGGAAAAGTCAAGCTATTGCGTCTGCTCAGCCAAGTGCTTTACCAACTGCGTGGTCTGACATGGCTTTGGGTTGATGTGTGTGGCAGGAGGGGGCTCTGGCCGAGCCTTGGGGTGTGCCCAGCGGCACAGAGCGGGGCTGGGTGATCCAGAGGGCTCCTGCTCCTTCCTGTGGGAGCTGGACAGGCAAAGGGGAGGCTCGCTGACCCCAGACTGTGCTGCTCTGGAGAGCCCTCTCCATCCTGGGAGACAGTTCTTTCCATTGCTCACCTGGCTTTGAGGGATCCCAAGGGCTCTGCCAGCACTGTGGGAAGCTTGATTTACAGCTGCTTATGCAATGAAGACATCCTCAACAATTATAGCACTAATTGACCGCGGGGAATGGCCTGAAGCTGTGTCAGGGGAGGTTTAGGTTGGATACTAGAAAAAGGTTCTTCACCCAGAGTGTGGCTGGGCCCTGGAACAGTCTCCCTGGGAAGTGGCCACAGCACCAGCCGGACAGAGTTCAGGAAGCGTTTGGACAGTGCTCTTGGGCACATGGTGTGACTCTTGGAAATGGTGCTGTGCAGGGCAGGGAGTTGGACTCAATGATCCCTTCAAAATCAGCATATTGTGTGATAAATGGAGATTAAAAAAATCACACTGTGCTACTAAACATTCAATTCCTGTAACTAAAAAAAATACCATTTAGCCATTTGGGGAGTCATTTAAATATTGGCCCAGTATGTTGCCTGTCCCAAATGCAACACATGAGAAGATGAATACAGAAAAGTTTAAAAGGGTTTTGTTATATTATTCATGTTCATCACCATACTGAATTAATCTCAGATTAATAAGCACACTTTTTAAATTAAGTATGAATACACCTCGCAAGTGTTGTTTGTAAGTAGAATAATACAGGCTGGAAATATTTTTTGCTCTTACTTCTCTATTTGCTTTTCTAATTATTCCTATGATAAACTTAGCTCTCTTAGTATATTTGATAAGAAAGAATGCTTTTTTCAGGTTGGAATCTTTTGCCTGATCTAATAAGGGTGTGTGTGTCATTCCTATCAGGCAATATGCAGTAATACAATGTCTTTACATAATATACTTTTATTGTATATAATAAAAGTCATTACCAACTAGTTTGCTCAACATTGACTCCATCCTCTTGCACACAACCTGTTTTGAACCCTACTTGCAAACGTGCTGTTAATAATGTTTTTTACCTGTTAACAAATATGGGTAAGTATCAGATTCATGTGGGATGACTGTGTACCAATATAAATAATTTGTGCAAGATCATGCACCAACCCTGTTGTTTTTTGGTTGTTAGTGATTGCAAAGTTACCTTTCTTTAGGCACTGAACATATTTTTTTATCTTTCTCCGTTTTCTAAATTAGCTACTCTGGGCAGGTGCAGGACAAGTGCAAGCAATGCATTAACAAGGAGTATAACCAAGTGCTGTTGAGCACTGAGCCTTGCTAATGACTGCATGTATTGGGCTAGAGCAGAGTAAGTCGAAGTGGTTTAAAGCACTTTGCTGGTACTGTGTGTTAGCTTTTCAGGGGGAAAAATTAGTAAGTGCGGTTTTGCTCTCCCCTTCTAGATTTAATTTATGCCATGGTACCTCCACCATACCAGAAAGTCATGATTGACCTAATCTTCCACAGAAACATTGTATCAGAAATGCCTTTTATGTGCCAGAATATTTGGATGGGTTTGTACTCCTACTCCTCCTGTGCACACTTCACTGCACTTGTTCCTTTTGCTGTAGTCGACTGCTCCAAAATTTTTTCTGAACTTCCACATGTGTTGGAATAAGATCATCTGTCCTGTCCAGCAGTGCCTTCTTGTGAAAGCCAGTGTGTTTGGTGGCATTTAAGACGTGTTACCTTCCAAACACTTGCCACACTGACGTACTCTTTCAACTGTGAAAGATCATCTGTATCGTTCCCCCGCCAACAAATTCTGGCTTTGATTAACCCAAACAAATCTGAGGCTTTTGGCTTTCAGACTCAGTCCAATAATTCTCTCCAGAATAGGGGTTAGGATATACAAAACCTATTCTGTTTGGCAACTTCTCTTTCAGTGACTAAGAAAAGCCAAGCTGATGTCAGAACAGCAAAGATTTACCGTGCAGTGATCAGAGGGAGGGTGTAAAAGCCTGCATGTGGAATGAGTCAGTCTTTCCTTTTCAGGACAGCTCTAACCACATCTACCATCTGACAAATCTGTGCAGCCCACTTCTGTAGTAAAGAAGAAACTGTATCACAGACAAATACTACTCTGGGGTGTTTTTCTGTGTCCAAGAAGAAAGGCCAGCTTCTCCACAGGCAAGCCTGAACTGTTTAAGTTATCTTGCCCTTTTCAACACTATCCCCTCACGCAGTATCTGCATCAGTGGTGTTCTGAATTCTGTTGTGTTATGTTGGTCTCCCTTCAGCTGAATAAACTGACCTCTTTTGACAGCTTCACTGCAATACAAAGGGATTTTTGGAGCGCTGAAGGAATGAAGGTATGTGGCACCCTAAAGACTTCCCGCATGCACCCCGCAGGTGTTCAGGTCAACCTGCTCAGGCAGCTTTCTGAGAAGAGTCATTGTTTCAGAGCCCCACATGCAAGGGTTAGCAAGGGGAATAATATTTGTAAAATGGTTTCTGCACATGCAGTCTGCTGATTTTAAAGAAGTCATCTGCAGTAGAAGTTTTCACAAGTATTTTAACCACCTGAAACTCACACACAGGGATGATGGTTTTAAGCAATGTCTGTGAAGCACTTAAGGGTAATGGGATAAAGCAGTGATTAAACAAGCCCAAGAGAAAATTTACTAGTAAATGTTATGTTTTGGTAAATAGTTTTAGCTTTTTCCAAATACAAATAGAAAATTATCTTTCCTTTATGTGTTTCAACCTTTTCCCAATGGGAAATACTTTCATACCAATGAGAAAACACTGCTAAATTTTTTGTCTCTTTTGTTTGTTTGTTTGCCTTCTAGTGAATGTTAAAAAACCCAAAAATGTATTTACAGGCATTTTTTTACCAGCTTGTTTTTGTATCAGTTTGTTCTGCTATCTTTAGCCAGTCTTGAAGAGATAATCTGTAAGCAGAATAGACATAACTAGGCATGTGAAGCAGTTATTTATTGACCAGCCCTGAAAGCCCACTGAAAAGAAAGAATTTCACAAGCCATTGGGCTGAGCATGACTGCTTGCCCAGCAAGGCAGCAGCAGTGGCTTTGCTGGCCATGCAGACATTGGGCAGGAGGGGAAGGGTCAGTCCCTGCAGCTCCCAGGAGCAGACCCTAAACGTTGCCACATTTCTGTCTTCTGCCAAGCTCTGTCAGGGCCCCTGGCATGGATGCCTTGCCCCAAGAAACCGAATGACCTGATGCTTCCTGACTTGCCTTGCTCTTTTCTTCCTTTAGATTTTATACCCTTTCCACATTGCTGCTTTCCCTCCTAAACCCTCAAGCTCCCGGAAGTCCTTTCCCACTAGCTCTACCTCTGTCTATAATTTTACCTTTCTTATGTCTCCAGACTTTCTCACAGCTTTTTTTCCAGCAGTCTGAACAGGGTTACACAGCTGGGCTGGATCAGAGTTGGGCCCTCTTGTGCAGGGAGCTGTGGGGACGGGAGAGAGGCACAGGACAGGGGCTGCAGTAAGGGCTGACATACTCCAGGTCTTTCTTGAGTCAGGAAAATATTCCACTGCAGTTGGAAGAAAGGGTATTCAAAGCTCCAAGTGTTGCTGTCATTGCCAGAACAGAATGAAAACTAGATTTCAAACAGCTCTAAGAGGCCAGTGCAGCTCAGGAGAATGAAACGCTCCAGAAGTTAGCAGCTGCATGGACCATCAGTTCCTGACCTCCTTCAGCCCTGCTCTGCTCACTTTCCATACTTCAACAAGTTCCAGCTGCCAGCAAGCAGAGGGTTCTGACGTGAGTGGGGAGGAGGCAGCTCACCAGCAGCTCACAGGCTGCACGCAGCAAAAGGCCTTTTGCCACTTGTGCATTCAAGCAAGTCACTGTGCCCTGAGCTGCAGAAGTTAGGGAACAAAGCCAGCAGTAGGGAAGTAAGCTTGTGTATAAGAGCGGGAATATTTGGGGTTTAAGTTTTTTTTTCTAGGTAAGCTGTTCATATTTAACAGTGGTCTAGCTCTGTCTTTGCTGTGGTGTCTCTAGAAACAGCAAGCCTTACCCTCTATTCTAGGGTGAATTTTGTACAACAGAATTGAAAATCCAGATTTCGGTTATTAGAAAACAAACAAAAAAACCATAGGCAGTTACAGAAATTCCTCTCCACAAAAATATTTTGCGGATGAAACTAGCCAGTCGTCTCTGGAAAAACAGTTCAGGACAAACCATAGCATTCCGTGTG